ATTCATATTACCGCAAACACATGTGAATATCTTGGAGCAACTCTCTATCATTGGATTGCCTAAGAAAAGGAACATTATTTTTGGGATATCTTTAGAGCATCACTGCTTTGGGAAGTGTGACTGGAGCGAAATAGATGTACTTTTGAGGAAAGTAGCCTAGAAGTGGAGACAGTGAAAGATAAGATTTTACACACTGTTTGGTCGTGGTTTTCAGTTATAAAGGGAGGGCAAAGGCATCTCTAAGTTAGATATCATTTTGAACTTGAAGAATATTATGATGCAATCTTCCATCAATGTCAGACCCAAAGGTAGATGGCCTCCACTAATGCAAGGTAGTGTTAAACTCAGTTTTAATGGGAGTTCTATAGGGAATCTTAGCCCGACAGGTATGGGCGGAGTGGTAAGGAATATCTTTAGTAAGATTTTGTGGTCTTGCTACAACAAATAAGGAGGAGATTTGTACATTGTTATGTGGGCTTAAACTGGTTAAAGAGAGTTGTTTGGGCATGTGTTATATTGTGGAAGCAGACTCCATGAATATTATTAATCGATCTAACAAAATTCAGAGACCTCCATGGACCTTAAGGTCTGATTCGCTTGAAGTGATGGAAATCTCTAGTGGTATGGAGGTCGATTTTCACCATGTATATAGAGAGGCTAATGACATTGCAGACAAATTGGCTGAAGGGAGTTTCTTGTGGTGAGAATGTAATTAGGGACTCACTACCATTGTAATTGTTTTTCTTTCGAGATTTATTAATAAAGATTAGTAACCTTGAAAAAAGTAAATCAGGACAACAGAAACAAGAAAACAATCAGAACAAAGAATGTGATTGTGTTATATGATCGCAAAAGAATAGACTGAACAAGTTTGGTTTGATGTGACACAAAACCTATTTCTGTTCGTCGGAAAGCGTCATCACAGGAACAAAAGCCCACAGATTGCCTAATTGGCATCAACTAGTGAAACTTCTTTGTGTTTCAGAACTCATCAAGATCAAACTGGTATCACTCCTAAAACACATAATTCACCTATAGGAATTGAGCTTGAGATATAGGTTCCAGAGGAGATGCATTTTTCTAACTTTTACTATTACAAGATAAGGGAAAAACTGTTTCTATTTTTTGCCCTCCTTCAATTATCAAATATCCAGGTCCAGGAAGCATTTTCTACATGAAGTAACAGACACAAATGTGTAGCACTAGTGTTATGGAAAAAAATACGATAAATCCCTTCTCTTTTTTTTTGATATGTAAACGGTGGGATTGGAAGACAGGACCTTATGTTGAAGCATCCACTCCCTCATCACCTGTGCCCCACCCCCATTCCCCTTATAAATGCCATTTAGTAGTCCAACCAAACAAAATAGGGGTGATAACGAGTTGCGTCGTACCCGGACCCGAAAAAATGATGTGGGACTCGAACTTAGACCTGAATATTGTTCAGGTCCAAGATTTGAACTTGGACATGACCCGTCGGGTCCAATTTTTTGGACCCATACACAGACCCAGATTGGGTCTATTCCTCGTATCCCGAGTCAGGTTCAGGTCCATTACCATCCGTTAAACCAAATGGTGTTTGCTTGTCACACCAGCACCATACCATGTTAAGCAATGAACTAGAAAGTACCTTTCTTATGGGTCTAGGAATCATTTTTCTCTACACTGGAAAACCAAGTGCAATTGTAAATCCAAGCCCAAATGATTGGGTTTTTGCATACACAGAATGAGGAGATATTTAACAAATGCCATATATCTTTTGGTTGTCATTTTTTTTCTGTTGAATGATAGGAAAAATATCATTCAAATGGTCAAACCAACTAAGAGTTGAATGTTAGGAGAAATATCATTAAAATGATTAAATCACCTAAGAGTTCAATAAAGTGGTCAATCATTCAATCAAGTACCTCAAGCATTTTGATAAAAAAATACCCAAAATGCGCATGCTTTAAGGTTGACATTATGAATAAGATGGTGATTTTGTTCTTGTTCTAGATTTCAAACTTATAACCAGATATTTTAATAAAAAGCGTATATCTTAGGTTTAGAACCGGGGGGAAGTGGCTGCAGTAATGTCACTTCGATCGGGCCACTTGAGTTAAATGATGTAAATACCTCTGTTTATTTGCGTTTCCAAGCTGGAACATATTCTTTCACTAAATCTCTTATTCTAGGTTAGGATTCTTGAACAACTTGGTAATTTAGCATAACTTTACCTTATGTGACCAAATAATGTAAAAACCTTTGATTGATTCATGTTTCAAACCTAGAAAATATTTTTATTAAATCTCTTATCATGGATTTAGAACTTGGAACAAGGAAGGGTCCATAATTATTTTTTCGTATTTTTTTTTATATTTTTAAAATCCGCTTTAAACAATTCAATCAACAGTCGGATTGATTTTAATTGGACAAGATGGCTCATCAATTCGGTGGCCGGCCCAATCCTAAGAATACTACTTGAGTGGTACTAAATTACCAAAGTACCCCTACTCGTCAAAGATTCCAACGCCAAAACCAAGGTGTATTGGCCTTTTTTTTTAAGGTGCACCGGTTTATTGGTTTGGTGTGGTTTGCATAAGGGTGCAACCTTAAACAATCAAATTAAGGTGCACCCCAAAACTTAGTCATGTGATGCAATTTGGTGTCGAAAATTCTTAGGATGGTGCGAAAATCTAATGTTATCTCTAATTATAAAATTTTAAGTACCAAAAATGGTTCAAATCAAGCATATCTATAAATGCATGAAAATCTTAAAAATTGACAGTCTGGATAATGTATTGTAAGATGCACTATTTTTAGGATTTGAAATCTCTTTTTCTATTCATATCTATACATCTCGATGTCCAGATGATCAATGAGATAATTTTTGAACATCAAAATAGCATTTTTCAAAGGATTTAAGAGATGCACCTAAATTCTACATTTTAAAATGTCAACTTCATATTAAAAAAAACGTATATAATATGTAGTACACATAGTTCTTCTAAGGGTGCACTTTGTATAGAACCTAAGCTCTAAACAATCAAATTAGAGCCTACCTTCAAATAGTATCGAAAAATGTGGTTTCAATGCTGGAAATCTTTTTGATAACCTTAAAATATATTTTCATCTTTATTTATAAAGTTCAAAGCTTCAAAAATAGTATAGATCAAGAGATCTATGAAAACTTGAAAATCTTAAAAATTGACTGTCCGAAAATGCGTTATAAAATACACTATTTCCAAAACTTGAAATCTATGTTTTTCTCATGTCCATGCATCTTAATGTGGAGATGATCAATTTGAGAATATTTAGGCATCAAAACAACCTTTAAATTTTTGAATAAAGCTCTAATTCGATTGTTTAGAGCCTGGGCTCAATATAAACTTTTCCCATCGTTTGGCGTGGATGATTATATATTGCCTCTTTCCTGAGAGGTAAGTTTCTTTTTGGCCGATGTTAAAGTTAATAAAAAGATTTTAATAAATACGGATTAAGGTACATATGGCGCATCAAACCCTAACACAAAAGTTAATCGCTTACAAAAAAAGCTGGAGAAACACAAACTTTATAAAGTGGAGGCTCCGTGGGGGAATCAAAGTATCAAAACCTCAGCCAAAAGAAACACCAATTTTTCCCACTAATGTATTTGAAAATCACTAATTTCTAAAACAGGTAGGGGCTGTAATCTTTACTAATATATGCGCATGCGCACGCATACAAAATAAATAAATAAATAAATAGAAGAAAAAAAAAGAGGAGGAAGAAAGGTTAATTGATTAAGTTGTTCAGCTCATTAATTTTCAATTCGGATTAGATGATTCTTAATCAAAATATTCTCTCTTATACATTTAGATAAAAAAGCGGTATAGTGCCCACCAACTCTCAACGGGTGACTCCTAATTTAGATGGCGATATTTTGAAAACCTTTACCCACCAACTCTCAACGGATGATTCCTAATTCAGATGGCGATATTTTGAAAACTGGTTTTCCCATTGAAGCATCTCCAATAAAACACAAGCACCTCGAATAAATTTTCTCTGTCACCCATTGATACATCTTAAATAAAACACAAGCACCTGGAATAAATTTTCTTTTCTCGGTCAAAACATGATTATGTCTGGTGCCCTCGATCGCATCTTAGAGTCTTTTCCATGTATAGTCGCCATAATGGGCTTTAAAAAGTGGCTTTTTTTTATCTTTTTGTTTTTTTTTTTTTTACCAATCACACACTTACTACCATAATGGGCTTTAAAAAGTGGCTTTTTTTTTTTTTTTTTGACCAATCTTACACTTACTACTCTTAACTCAATGCTAATTCACACTTGCTACTCTAACTCAATGCTAATTCACACGTAATTTCTTCACATATTTCGAAGGCTTGAATTTTAAATATTTAAGGCCTCCACTCATCACAATGAGTTGCGGATTGTATACTAAGATTATTTATCGTCATTACAAGGAAGTCACAACTCCGACTAGTTATTAGAAGCCAAATTGGATGGCTTGGAGTATCTCACAAAAATTGTGACTTTTTTTTATTTTAAACTATGAGTCTAGTAAAGGACATACTCACAACCACCCGATCTAAAATTTGACTGACAAAGGTAAGGACGAGTAATTCTCACCTCTTTGGGTTAGAAGTAAATGGTCTCTTCGTATACTTCTTTATTAGTCACCCAAAAATAAATACATAAAGCAATTATTCAAGTAAAGAATGTGACCAGAAGTTTGGTTCTCCAATTGTTCTTTTATAATTTGTTTAATGCGTAAGTGAGGCATACCACCTACCAAGGTAGTTTGGTTCTCCAATTGTTCTTTTATAATTTTTTTAATGCCTAAGTGAGACATACCATCTACCAACGTTTGAATATCATCATTATCATTCTTATAGCCTTTTTTCAACTATTTAGGGTAAGCTACACAAATCATAATCCGTCATTTTGCTCTATCAAGGCCATATCCTCGGGCCATAAATTCCAATATCTTTTCTAACCTTACGAAGAAAGCCCTAGCATAAGCAAATAACCTAGATTCAAGATTCATGAAAAATTACAATACCAAAACTTACATGCATCCAAGGCCGTCCATTTTTTTCTCTTATAGTCTACGCTGTTTATTTTCAAAATTAATTTCCACTAAAAAAAAGAGCACCAAGACTCGTCCTGGTTTGGGAGATTTAGGGCAGGAAACCCATCCATCTACATGAGGAAAATATACAAAAACTCCATAAAATGGAAGAAAGAATAATAGAATTAGGAGATATGTGAACCTTGTTTCAAGGCAATTTCCCACGCTTTCCTTCCTTTTAACCTGGATCCTCATCCATTCAGAGTCTTGCTGAACGCCTCCTTCATTTGGATGGATTGTTCATATAGAAACTGGACAAACTCCTTGAACAACCATCCATCCGGCCCTGTTATAATAGACACGTGGAATATACTGTATGCTGTCTGACACCAGGTACCCTCTCAATCAAGCTCCCCTTATTCATATTGCCCCTGATACTGCTTCCAACTCATATTTTGTCATACTTTCCTTTATTTTTCCACCTCAATTTTCCATAATATTTGTGCCATTTTTCCAAAAAATAAAGGTACCCAGCACCTGAAACTGCTGGGCATTGGAGCCTCTGAGGAGGCCCTGTAAGTTACACAAACACCCACCAAATTATATGATCCCAAGAGGATGAAATAATGTAATTTTCTGCTCTCATCGGTGTTGCTCACTTATGTTACCCTTCTCAAATGCCTGGCCAAGAATAATGGCTTTCTTTTTCTTTGCACAAATATCATTTGCCTTGCTTTCTACCTGCCAACAAAAAAGAAATAAATAGATATTAATGGCAAGTCTGAAACACACTTCCCCACTTGAGTTATTAAGCACATTACTATTCGAACTGAACTCAATCATTATTCAAAAACCAGTCATTCGAACTTATTGACAAGGAGTGTAGTGTTTTGTGATACCTCTTTGGAACCATGATTTCCTCACAGCTTGACGAATATGGCGCTCGTGCTTCTCTAAAAGCTCTTCAACTTTTGATGCTTGAGAAAGCAAGGGACCAGAGAACTCAACTCTATCCCCATGATCCTGATAACAACCCTGCCATATAGCATGATACTTCAATTTAAAATTCAAATTCTTGAGAAGATTATAAGCCACTACATTCTTTCATCTTTTATTCTGTTTGCCCAAAAATTTGCTTATGGAAACAGAGCTGGTAGCTCAACGTATAAAGTGCTGTGCTTTTCCAGAGGCACCTGTAACTTTAGAAAATCAAAATACAACCATATACTTAAACTACCAAGAAATGTGAAAAATATGGTAATTGAAAGACAGAAGATGCTAAAGATATTGTTGAAAAGCAAAGAAGCAATACCATATTATGCCGCCTAGAGGCAAACTCTTCCTTTTGGTAGATTGCGGCAGATAACTCCTGGGAATGATAATCAGAGGCATCAAACGAATCTGGTCGTTCAAACTGGGTCCACTGTTTCAGCATTGCTCGTTTCACCAAATCCATCTGTTCATTGCCTCCTATTGAATCAGCACACTTTCCATTCACAGGAATTCCATTGGCTTGACCAGACAATTCAAAATCATGTCTTGCTTTGAGTGCATTGGATAGATCAGATGAACCAGAAGAAACATGGTTCCGTGAACCCGATCTACCATGTGATCGCCTGTCTTCTTTCCTTTTCCTTGCCCATGCAAAACCAGTAGATGCAGCCACAGGCAATGGGCCTGAGAAAACTGACTCCCCTTGAGAAGAACTCTTTGAATCAGTATCCTCCTCATGAGGTTTAACAGTTGGCTTCTGTTGATTCTGGTTGAACCCCTCCTCCCATGGAACATTAATTTTAGTGCTGCTGCTTTTCCTGACCACTTCACCACTCTGCAATACATGTCCAGGAACAGCACAAGAGGATTGCTGTTCATTTTGGTCATGCAATCTTCGGTGTTCTTATATTTTGTGAAAATCTAAGATGATGTGCTATTGTCATGAAATAAAATCAGAAGCAAACCTGAGCAGGTAGAGCTTTTTTTACATTGTTCTTTGCTTCTCGAGAAACCTTTGATATTCTTGAAGCTCTTCTTGATACTTCTGATCCACGTGCTCGGCATGCCGTCTTTTTCCTGCAAACAAAGTACATAAAAGCTATAAATAGTGTGGCAATCACTCATCATCATCATCCGAACCTTATCCCACCATTTGGGGTCAGCTAAATAGTATGGCACACACCCCTTTTAAAAAAACCAGAACTACAAAAACGGCAAAAAGTTTCATGGGTCCTATAGCAAATGCTGGAAAGTCAGTGATCGAACATAATGTGATGCAGAGAAATTGATACTCATCCAACTAAGTTTGAGTATGGAAAACACAGATAAAAAGATTAAAAATCTAGTAATGTCAAGAATGCATGAACTGTCATAATCTGATTAGGCTTTATGCGTTTATCCTTCAGGAACCTGAGGAAAACAACACAAAAAACTGCACCATGAAGAGTAAATGAGAAAAACTAACGTAAATCCCGACCTTTCTAATTTTTTTTTAGAATCATACATATTCTAGCTAAATAAAATCTAAAATGTTGAGAAAATTCATAGCGACAATCCTTCGACACTTGTGAAGAGTCCGTGTCTGACACTTACAGGACACCGACTATCCTCGGGCAAACACAGATATGCTTAGATACATCTTTCAATGTTATCAAAATGGCCCTTGCAGCATCAGCCTAGGGAAATTCCAGTTTTACATGGACATAGAAAGCTTAAAAGAATAAAAATAAGCGAAAATTTGTATGAAAGAAAAAGAAAAACTAATGGGCAGAGAACAATTATTTAAACATGATAATTTTAGATACTTACTAAAAGCTTTAAACATGCTAAAATCTTTTAAGACATGGATAGAGCATTTTTTTCATCAAAAAACTTGAAAAATGTTATTTGTTTTAAATGTCTAATTTTCTTTTTAAAAAGTGTTGAGTTGAATTTCATATTACTGTTCCTTTCATCCTATTTTCACATTCGTCCAAAATATACCATTTCCCAGGTCCTATGTGTTCAAAATTAGCATGTCCTGTGCCAGTTCCCAAGTTGTGTTTAATACTCATGTCCATTTGTAGGATGCATGTAACAGAGCTCTCGGCAGAGTTGATGTTCTTACCTCCTAGCTTCCTCTTCGCGCCCTTTGGCATCAATCTCCTTGTTGGGGGGATATTTTGGCAAGCTTGAAGGATCACATGCATAAGGTTTAGTTGTAAAGTACTGCCATCATACAGAGACAAGCAGCAACTAAGAGATGGGAATGCTGATATAACAGAAGACTTGCTATACCAGTATAGTGGAAGTGTGAAGAGATTCTAATAAAATAGGAAATTCTTATCATTAGTACTCTTTTGTATTTCCACTTTCAAATATTTCTTGTTATTAGTCATATTTCCATCTGCACGGCTAAAGAGAAAAGAACAAAAAAATGTGCCTATCACAATGTGAACTACCTCAGATGAAAGAGCAACAGATGCAGAACCACGTTTGTAAGTTTCAATGGAGAGAAGATTTCCAATCAAATCTGAAGCAGTTGATGGGATGCCTTTGAGGGTCTCGGCAAGGCTACTCTCGTAAGGGTGTTGGGGTTTAAATATAGTTGCATGAGGCAACTTAGACTTTTTCCAGTATTCATCAGGAGGTGAACCACAGAGCTTAAAGATCTTGTGTAGTTGTTCCACCTGTAAAAGAAAGAAGAACCGTATTTGCTTAGAGATTCAAATGATATAGAACCATATTAACATGCACTTGTCCTATAGGAAAAAACGTAAGCATAATTTGATGAAGTAAATGTTATGTGAAATCAAATTCCAACAGCTTAAGCACGAAAAACCTGTATTTTTTAATCACATGCTAAAATACTTATCTAAGTTTATGATAAATAGATTGCCATTCCAACTGGTCAGGTAAACCATACACCTGAATGGAGGTATTCTCCCTGGGGAACAACTTTGCTCCTTGCTTGGTGATTCATTGTATTTCTTTTTAGTTAGTGAAATGAAAAAAACATTTTCTTGTCAATTACAAACTAAAAAACAAAATGCTGCATGCGTGTGCACACAGGCACACACGTACATGTGCACACATACATACACACACACACTCAGAAAGTCAATGCTGACAACGGTCTAAATTGCAAGACATCTTCCATCAATCAGTAAGCTCGTTTAGAAACAATGAAAAGAACAGCTTGAATTTCAGATGCTCACCTCAGTTCTTCCCTGAAGTATGGGTTTCCCTAGAAGCAGCTCTGCAAAGACACAACCCACACTCCACAAATCCACCGATGCTCCATAATCTGTTGAACCCAGTAAAAGTTCAGGAGGACGGTACCAAAGAGTCACCACACGACTAGTCAGTGGTTGCTTGTGGCTAGGATTAACGAAATTCGCAAGACCAAAATCAGCTATTTTGAGAATCCCCTCATTATTGACTAGAAGATTCGATCCCTTGATGTCTCGATGCATGACACCACGAGAGTGGCAGTGTTCAAGACCAGACAATAACTGTTTCATATAACATTTGACCTGCAAATACATATTCAATAAAGACCCCCATGTCTTTGTATCAGGATATAGCATCATTATTTTTTACTGTACGATAATTATCAAAATAACCCACCAAAATAAACTTTAAATTAATGACTAGTAATCAACATTACCAACAATAAAGCATGATGCTATTTATAAATCAGAGTGAGAAGGGTCTGAATTGTCAGTCATTGATTACCTGGGATTCACTGAATATGATATCGGGACAAGATGATAGTCCTGCAAGATCATGGTCCATATACTCAAATACGAGATACATACTACATGACATCCGAGAAGTAATCAATCCCTCAAGCTTTATGACATTTGGATGGTCAAGCCTCCGCAAAATCAGGATTTCTCGGGCCATAAACCGTACGCTCTCGGGCTCGAAATTGTCAAAACGAACCTTCTTCAGGGCGACTATTCTCCCTGTCTCAAGGTCACGAGCCCTAAACACGCTGCTATACGTGCCTTGCCCAATCTTCAAATGCAATTTTTCCATGAAATAAAAATCATTATTTATATTATGGATAAAATATTATGGTATTCCGATATGGCTGGACTAAAAACCCAGCTCCTTTTGAAAAAAAAAAACAGGAAAACCCAGTATGCTATTAAGAAGCATGTCCTTAGAATTAAGGAGACCAGTTGTAGCCCATGAACTTAGAATGTAGAAAACTAGGGATATAACTACCAATTTATTGGACTTCTGTAACATCCCTCTCACTATTGGATATCTGCATTTCTTTCAGTTTCCAAGAGAGCAATAAGAAACCTTTATAATAATGCTATGACGTATGGAGAGAGAGAGAGGCGGGGGGGGGGGGGAGAGAGAAGAGAGAGAGAGAGAGAGAGAGATCCCTTTCCCTAAAATCCTAAGAGCTACTGCACAACTTCAAACCAGACAAGAACAGTAGCCCTGAAGAAGGTTGAAAATCACAAATTTCACATAAATTTTGAAACCATATGATCTTTTATTGAATCGATTTAACTTTTGCGATGAAAAAACATGAGATAAAACTAATAAAATGCACATGCAAAAACCACATCCTTGAATAAATTTTTAACCTTTTCTATTATAACATCCTTAGAAACAGAATAAGTTCTTCTTCATTGTAAGACCTTGTCATATTTTCTCTTTATTGTCATTTTAGCAGTTTTTTATATGTAAAACAGTTTTATATGTAAGAGAAAGGAAAATAGTTAAAGACAAAGATATCAAGAGAAAAACAAAATGATAAGAGTTCCAAGACCCATTTCATGCATCTCAAGAACTTTTAGAATAAGAATTGGAAGAAGAAACAAAAACCAAAAAAAAAAAAAATCAGAAACCTAAAACAAGAGAATAATAAAGAATCAAGATCACCATTTGGGCTTTGTCAAATACTCTCATTACACGAACTCACTTAAATCTCTCCAAAAAAAAATTAAAAATTCAACAGCCCTTTTTAACATATCCAAAAAATAAAAAAATTCACATAAATTTTTTCTGAATTTTCGCTCGATGAGGAAAAAAAACTCAATTCAAAAGGAAAAATCTAAAAAAGAAACGAAAATAAAAGGTATGATCATATCTCATTAAGAAAATTCGCTGTAGTTTTTCCAAAAAAAAAATTCAGAACATGAAAATTAACCGACCACTTTTCAACTCACAAAAAGAAAGTAAATTTTTTTTTTTTTAACAGAATTCACATTTTCCGGATTTCACAAAACTCAGAAGAACAATACAAAAGGAAAAAAACAAATGCAACAGAGAAATTTGAAATTTTGAAAACCGAAAATAAATAATTTTTTCATATTTTCGCACAACTCAGAACACCATTTCAAATAACAAAAAAAAATATCAATCAAACTACAAAATTAAACAAAATGAAACAATAAAAATAAAAAATTTAACATGAAGATTTTCACACAACTCAGAATAACAATTCAGCTTTTTTAAAAAATAAAAAAATTCAAAAGAAAAATGAATAACGAAAGGACACGAACATAAAATTTCACCAACCTTTTCAAGCTTCTCAAAAGAATCGACCTTGAGGGGAACCCAACCATGGATGGCTTCCCCTGCAACTGCGCTCAACCAAGCAGGCCAACCAGCTGCGACCTGTTCTCCCTCAACATACTTATGCAAATTCCCCAACCTAAAACTCACTGAATCGCTATTACTATTGCTTCTTCCCGATTCCTCGCCATTATAATTCGCGACTGCAAAATCATGGCTGCGATCAGAGCTCTCATCCTTCTTGCCCGAATCAGAGCCGGCAAAGCCGGCTCTGCTCCGCAAAGAAATGACATGAATACCGGAATTCTGATTCCTGAAACCTCCTGAATAATCAAGGGCAGGGGTTACAGAGACCGCCTGCTTCGAAGCAATGCACCCCATTTACTGCTACTGCGACTGCAAATCCAAGAACATCAGCAGAGAGATAGAGAGAGAGAGAATGACGATGAAACCCTAATTCTAGTCTGGTTCTTTTCATGGAGCGCGGGATTTATGGGAGATTAAAGGGAGAGAGAGGAGAGAGATGAATGTGAACAGTCTCTTGAAATTTCTGTTACTAAAACTATCTCTCTCTAAAACTCCTCCTTTTCCTATTCTCTTCCTCTCTCTAAAACTCGCCCTTTCCCTATTCTCCTTCTCTCTCTAAAATTCTCTCTTTTCCTGTTATTCTCTCTCTAAAACTCCACCTTTTCCTCTTGAGTCTCTATCTAAAAACTCTCTCTCTCCAATTCTGTCACATCCTCTCTCTAAAAAGTCTCTCGTCCTCCAAAATTCGCCGTTTCTCTCTCTAAAAATCTCTCTCTTCAATAGACAGGCCGTGATCGACGCACAAAAAATCGTGGGGCCCATTTTCTCCTCACTCAGGAATTAAAGGAAAAGAATTTCTTTTGATAATGATAATATATATTTCTTTAAACTTTAAAGAAAGAAAAAGGTAAAAAGTTAAATAGTGGAAGTATTGATAGACACGTATGCCACTGGTTTTAGAGGATTTTACGAATTTGCCATTACAACGTCGAAAATTTCTACTACAACTTTATATGGACAAAAAATACCCAAACAAAACCCTGTATTTGTTCTCTAATCCCACTTCTTCTCTCTCATCGTAACTTATGCCCCTTTCCTCTGTTCTCTATCTTTTGGGGGGGGGGGGGGAAGATCGTCTCTCTCTTGAAATGAGTATTTTATCAAAAATGTAAATAAAAGACGTGCTATTTAATATCGTATTTACTTTTTCTTTAATTTCAAAAGGATTTTTGTTTACTCACGTTATTTCTTTGATGTAATCTGTATTTTTAGACATTCATTGCTCTTACCTGATAATCTTGTAACTTTTTTTTTTTTTGTCTATATTAAGTAAGGAAAAAATTTATATAAGGTTACAACCTTAAAATGTAGAATTACATATTCACCACAAAAATCAATATGAAAAGGTTGTTTTAATATTGAAAAACCCTCTAATTGAATATCTCGACAGCCAGATATATGAATATAAAAAAAGGAAAATTTTGAATCCCATAAATGATGCATATAGCAACACATTATCTAGACTGTTCATTTTCAATATTTTTATATGTTTATAGATCTACTTGATTTTAACTATGTTTGGAGTTTAAAATTTTATAATTAGATATGAAAATAGATTTTGAGATAATCCTATGAATATTTTACACCAAAATTGCATGTTATGATAAAATTTGGAGGTGTGCCTTAATTGGATTGTTTAAGGTTGTAACTTTATAGAAACCACACTCATTAAG